AAAAGGTTGGTAGACTGGGATCTCCTTGATGTTCTTTAACAAAGTGGGAGGATAATGGATGTTCTTTAAAACCCCTTTTAATGTTCATGACATGCGCCTCCACTCTTACTTGGACTTGTCTTGTCATTTTCCCAACATATTGAAAATTACAGGGGCACGTTAACAGATAACAATTCTTTTGTATGGCAAGTAATTGTTTTACTTTATATTCTTTCCCTGTTCAACCCTCTGTATTACCCTGTTACGTTTTCCAGTACTTCTGCATGACAGGCAATAACCAAATTGGGAAAAGCCTTTATCATCATTAAAAATTATGTTAAAATTGCTCTTTACTACTTGTGACCTAATGCCCAGGACTCATATACAGATAATTCTAGCAATAATATCCTCCAATTAACCAATATTTATTTATAATATTTTTTTAATGCGTTATCATTTCCTGAATGATCGCAAATTAATGCTACATCCATTGTGTCTTCCTGGGTTTTCTCTTTCTCTTTTTTCTTACCATAAATTAGATCCAGCCTGTTCATGTGGTAAACGTCTTAATATGCCCTATCCATTATGCTCACAGAACAATATTTTTTTCTTTACACTCATCCAGAAGTCTGAATGTTATTGTTCAAATTCCTCTAATTTCGAACAATTCCTTCTGACCGTCGTGAATTGCCCCTTGGGATAGTACTCAACCATAGACCATAGTGACAACTATTCAAAAAAATAAAACTGTTAATATCTACAGATTTAAAAAAGAAAAGTCTTAGTACAAATATGTCCATTGGTAACATAAGTATCCAGGTTCAAAAGGTGAACCTGCAACTCACTATGGTCCATGCTAAGCTTAATCCCCCAGAAATTGCAGCTAAAATAGGTTATAAATAATTGTAAATATTCCTCAGATCCTCTCCAAACGAAAAATAAATCATCTATATAATGGTGATATTCATTTGGACAAACTCCAATTCCTAGGAATTAAGCTTACCATAGACCATAGTGAGTCAGGCAGCATTGAGTTGACCTCTGAGGAAGCCCAGAACACATGAGTGAAATGCGTTATGTCACAATGGGGTGGAGCCAGGATCCGATGCAAGGAAGTGACAGGAAGAATTGGACTTTTAACCAAAAGCGTTTTGTGCAATCTGAGTAAGCAGTTTTTTGTTTGGTGTGAATAAACCTTTGATACTGTGTCATTGGTCTGTTCCTGGTTTGTGTCTTCCACACAGTGCTGCAGATTATATTTGGTTCTACTAGAACATCTGATTGTGGGATCTTTTCCCTCTCCATAGGAAACTTTCTCACCCAGAGCCAGGGTTTGTTAGTCTCTGAGAAACGTGAGTGTAAAACCCCTATGTTTTCCTATAAGTGTGCACAATTATAAACTCCATACAGATGGTCTGCACTATACTTGTTTGTGTATATCTTTTTCAGATGGTTTAATGGAATTGTATTGGTGATATATTAAACTGACCATTTGTGTATAGTAATATTTCAGCAAACATCTTTTTCTGGTTTTGGATTTTATGTCACTAATTTAGGTGATGCTGCTAGTTTTATCACTTTGACACAGTGTACACAAATTTTTAGCGCTGTCCACTGTTTGGCCACTTTGGTTTTAAGAACACATTATTGTTTCCCTACTTCACTCCCTGTACAAAAGCGAGGAAAACCAGAGCGACCAACCGTGGGTTCTCACTGATGTAAGTATGCTTATATTTGCACTGAATAAATGAAAGTAGAAAAATGAATAAATGTATATTAACATAGAATAATCAAATGTTATAATGGAAATGCTCATTACAAAATTGTAGAAAAATAAAATTTGCATGGTGTAATAGCTGTTATTTCAATGGGCATATTAAGTTTTCGAATGCCATACTGCATGGGTGGTTATGTCATCCATACAATTATTGGTAATAAGTGGGACCCTAATCTTAGGCAGTGCAAGATATACTTTAAATAGTGAGAATACACTGAGAATAGTAGAGCTACACTGTCAATTTGTACCACCATTTTAATAAACTACCTGAGGCCCTCGACTGTAACGCCCACTAACTGTACTACCTTCCCACTAAGGAGAGGCACCAAACTCAGTCCTGCACCCACAACATACAACAAACAGGAGGGTAGTGTGGGAAACCTGGAAAGGGAATCAAGATGCAGAGAAAACTGACATGCTTGAAGGGCCTTGATAAGGTAAGAGGAGACCCTCCCCCCTTGCCTAAACTTTAACAATTTAGCAAGACTTTATCTTGGTATTATCTAGATAAGGTATACAAACAACCACTGTTATATACAACCTACATACAGTTGTGCTCAAATGTTTGGATAACCTTGGAGAATTTGTAATATACATACCAATTTTTAAAGAAAACATGAGTGAGCAGAAAAAACACATTTTTTTTTTTCCTATGGGATTCATATTCTCTTGTAGGTTATAACAGAATGGCTCAATCATA